AAAAAAAAAAGAAAGAAACAGATAAATGAAACAGAAGAGAAAGTCCAAAAATAGATACAAACTTGTAAGGACAACTGATTTTCAACAAAGGTGCCAAGGCAATTCAATGAGGGAATGAAAAGTCTTTTCAATAAATACTGCTGGAAAAACCTGAAAAACAAACAAACAAAATAATCCCTAGCTCTTACCTCATACCAAAATTCAAGATGGATCACAGACCTAAATGTAAATGCTAAAACTTTATATAAAGCTTCTAGAGAAAATGTTGGAAAGTATCTTTCAAGATCTTGGGTGTAAGCAAATATTTTTTAGAGAAAACCCCAAAATCACTATCATAAGAGGAAAAACTTGGTGAATTTGACTATAACAAAATTAAACATTTCTGCTCATCAAAAAATACTATTAATTCATTTCAATATATATATAGCCCATATATAGATCCCCACACCCTGTGATAATTTCAACATACATATAACATACATATGTAAAAACCAACTTTGTTCAATAAAAAAAAAACGTGAGAAATTGGAAATGCAAGCCACATTACTGGAAGAAAATATTTTTCTTTTTCTTTTTTTTTAAGATCTATCTGAGAGAGTGACACAAAGAGAGCACGTGAGCATGGGGAGGGGAAGTGGGGGAGGGAGAGAGGATCTCAAGCAGGCTCCCTGATGAGCATGGTGCCTGACACTGGACTTGATCTTGGGACCCTGAGATGATGACCTGAGCCAAAACCAAAAGTCAGACGCTTAACTCACTGAGCCACAGACACAGATAAAGCCAGCTACAAGGAAACATGGTTTTTCCCAAGGCCAGGCAGCAGTTGTAAAATGCCACCAGGGCCTCTTTTGAGTGGTTATTGCTTCCTTACCAATGACACCCCAGAAAAGCTTTGCCGCTTTCACTTATTCCTGAGGGTACACATAACAGTACTCCCTAGTGAACCCCACTTCTCTTCCCTCCTAATTTTGCCTCGGAAACAGCGAGCAATCCAAAACCAATCCCTGTTTCTCTTTCCCCTCTTCTGAATCCTTTTGTGGGAACCCAAACTTTACAAATTCCTTTCCCTCAGGAAGGGCACCATTCCAGAATTCCTGTGGAATTCCCTCCTTCAAGGCAATCGATCTGACTCGGTAAAACTACAGGATTTTGTTCCTGGCTGATTAGGCCTTAAAAAGATGCTCTGCATTATGAGTCAGCAGGGAAATGAGACGGCACTCCCCACCCACCAGGATGGCTCAATTAGAAAGACTGTCAAAACCAAATGTTGATGAGGCTGTGGAACGACCAGCATTCTATCTGCTGGTGGGTGTATAATGATGTGACCCCCTGTAAGAGGAAGCCTGTCCCCACCCTGTGAGCCAGAGTTAGCTTCCAGGTATCTACTCAAGAGAGATGAAAACAATCCATGTAAATGTTCATAGCAGATTTATTCATAATGGCCTCAAACTGGAAACAAACTCATTTGTTAAAATGGATCAAAACATTGCCTTATAGTCATACAATACCACTCAGCAAAGACTGAACTACTACCTGACAACATGGCTCAATCTCAGAAACATTATGCTGAACTTTAAAAGAAGCCAGACACAACAGAACACTTACTGAATGATCCCATTATTTAAAGTTCGAAAACATGCAAAATTAACCTGGTAGGACAGAAATCAGAGCAGTGGTTACCTGTCGGGGGGGGGGGGGGGGGGAATTGACTGAAAGGGGGCATGAGGGAACTTTCTGGGGTGATGGAAATGTTCTAGACCTTGACTGGGCTGTTGATTATCCAGGCATAAATTTGTGAAAACTCATCAAACTGTTTATTTAACATCTGTGCCTTTCACCATGAATTTTAGCTCAATTAAAAAAAAGACAAATCAGTCTTGTCTCATTCTCAGAATACTATTTCACTGGTAGATTAAGAAACTACCATTTTTAGTCATAATTCATGAGATCCCACTATAAATTCTGTCCATATTCCTAAAATATTAAATAAATACCCTAAGAGTTATGGAAAGATAGAACATACATATTTTGGGGGAACTTTGATTTGCTAAACTCCAAACCAAACCTATGAATATTCATTTACACAAATCAATTCTAGGGGTTGGGGGGAAAGCTGATATTTTGTGCTGCCTTTCTGCTTGTATTCCCCATGGATTATTTCACTTTTCATGACAACCCTGTGAGATAGGACTATTATCAACTCATCTCCATTTTACATTTGAGGAAACAGGATCAGAGAGACAGAGTGGCTTGCGCAGGGTTATGAAACTGGCAAGCAGTAGAGCAAGGGTCTGAACTCAGGCCTCTCCAGCTTCCAAGCCGGGCTCCCCATCACTCTGCTCCCTCATGAGCTAAAGGCAGGAACCTAAAAAACTTAAGTTTTCTAAAATGATCCAACTAAACCAAAACAAGATAAAATCCAGATCAGGCCCTGGTTATCCTTCAAGCCTCGTGGCTACTCCCCGTCTCCAGTTCACCCACCACCCTTTTGTCTCAAGAATGATCCCCAACAAAAATCCTTTTGGAAACTCCTCTTGGCTATTTTGAAAGAACCCTCAATTTTTGAAAATCCCTACGGCATGCCAAAATAAGAAAGAAGCAAGAGAATCAATCATTGACTCTGTAGAAGAAGCGAAGGAGTGTGTATGTGTTTGGTAGTAAAGCCATTTTTCAAGTGGAATCTTATACCAGACCTCAGTAGAGGAAGTAGGTAAAGGTGAAGTCACTCTCTCTGCAGACCCTTGCCAGCCTCCAATTTCCCATGGCTACCCCCTAAAAGCTTCTCTTTGGACTTTGTGTGAAGGACTCCAGGAGTTCTGGCTGATCCCCTCAGGCTAGCATTCACACTCCTTCAAAGTTAAGATCACTGCAGCTTCTCCCAGTGTCCCTCCCAGGTCCCTCCCTCTTGCCTCTTTGTCCTAAATTGATGGGACACTGTTCTCAGGGCAATCTCCAAAACCATCACTTTACTAGTTACATGCACCTGCTCAAACATCTATCTGCTATCTTTTTATGGGCTTAGGCAATCCCCTCAGTCTGGCCCTCCTCATCCTGCCCACTCCTGCCATTCATCCTCACCCCCTGGCTCACAGCATGCAGCATGCCTTCCTCCAGGGACTTCCCTCAGCACTAGCTCTGAGCTCTAGAAGAACTCCGGGCTGACAAAAGTGAGGACATGTGGATCTATTCTCTGGAACTGTCCTTCAATTGTTTCTTGTGTATCAGTCTTACCTCCTCACAAAGATTGAAAGTTTCTACAAAGTCATCAAAAAGATCTTCCTTTTGATCTAGCAGAAAGTCCCTGGAGTCAAGGAGATCTGAATTTAAACCCTGGCTCTGCCACTTACTGGTTGATTTACATGGGGGAGTCATTAGTCATCTTGAGCCTGTTCTCTCAGGACTGCTATGAGAAGGGAATTATTAACGAAGTTGATGATATCACAGGCGAATGAGCTTATATATTTGTTTCCCTTTTCCCACCACACCATGCCCACCACAGTGGCAGACACACAGTCAGTGATTAATAATTTCTTTATTACAATTCCGCCAAAATGCAGCAAGGACCTGCTCTGGGCAAGTTTGCCTCTGCAGGAGCAAAAAGACATAGCTCTGCTCTGTGCCCGTCTTAATTTTGTTGACGACTATATTTCAAGACTTCAAAAAGCCAGGTCTGGCAGAACAGGAAGCAAGCATTTCAGGGTAATCACACTCAAGAATGCCTGCCAAGGCAATGCAAGGTCCAACCGCACTCTGATCCAGAAAGCTAATGGACAGATTTACTGGAGCTCACACTGGCTTGCAATGAGGACAGGGGCATAATAAAACTCAGGCTGTTCTGAAAGCACTTGCAATAAAGATGAGCAAAAGCTTTCCCAGGGGAAATACTGGCTGGCTCTTCCTGCTAGATGAAATCAATGAGCCCACCTAATTGGAAAACCAAGAAGAACCAGGGCCTAGGGGGGGCTGGGAGGCTGAAAAACACCACCAATGGCCGTGTGGGCAGCAGAACAAGCCCCGAGAAGCCTGCCCAGACAGAAGCGACATTGCATACCTGTGAAAGCGTGCTGCTCTCGCATTGAGGACACTTTCCTGCTGGTGCCAATGCCAGAATCTTCTCCATGTGTGGAAGGCCGCAGGCAGGACTCTCTGCTCGAAGTGACTGTCTGCTCTGGACTGCAGCCGCTGCAGTATAACAAAGAATGACCTTTATTTGTATTTTATGTTATATTAAAAAAATGACCTTTAAGGGTTGCACTCTAGAGGGAGGGTTGCTTTCTACACAAAATTGAGAAAAAGATTAAAATCATTTTTAATCTTTGTCGCCATGATAGGTGAAAAATGAAATACGATGGGTAAGAAATTTTTACTCTAGGTTAAGTATCTCTTCACATACTTGTGTGTGTGCACACACACATATATACATGTATGTATCTAAATGCTCTGTCCTATGTACTGTTCATACCCACTCCCTATTGTACTATCTGACTGTCAGTGTTTAACTCAGTGATGTACATGGGCTTTTTGAACCTTCAGAAATTTATCAGTCCTTTGTCACGTGTATTATCAACATTGTTCCCACCCTGTAATGTATCTTTTGATTTTATCTATGATGTTTATTTGTAATATAGATTATTTAAATTATTATGTAATTATGAAAAGCTACTATTATTTTACTGTTTATCACCAGGAAGATAAGACAACTGACATAAAAATATATGTGTGTGTGTGTGTGTGTGTGTACGCTTCCATGATCCAAAACTCTGGGGGGACAGAAGGATATATGTATTTGTGGCACTTTTTAAAACAGGACCTCAAATTCTTTGGATTTCCTCCTTTACTGAGAGGTCCCCCCCACCCCTGTCGAATCTGGGCGGGACGGTGACTGCTTTGCCCAATAGAGAATGGTGAAATGACCATGTGACTTCTGAGGCTGGGTCATAAAGGGCCATACAGTTTGTGTGTTGTTCACTGGGGCACTTTTGGAGTGAGCAGCAACACAGGAAGTCTGACTACCCTCAGGCCACCATGCTGTGAGGCAATCCAAGCCTCTTGGAGAGGCCCAGTGTAGGTTCTCTGGTTAACAGTCCCAGATGCACCCAGCCTTCGAGTTATTCCAGTCCAGGAACCAGCAATGTGAGTGAAGAAACTTCCTAGAGAATCTAATCCCCTGCCATTGGAATCTTCCCAGCTGAGGCCCTAGTAATCATGGAGCAGAGACCAGCCATCTTTGCTATGTCTTGTTTCAATTTCTGACCTACAAAACCCATAGGTATAATAACATGGTTGTTGTTTTAAGCCACTGAGTTTGGAGTGATTTTTCACATAGCAACAGATAACTGAACAGTAAGCATATGTGTGTGTGTGAATATATGGTATACATACTCCCACGCACATGGAGGAAAAAAGATATCAAATTTACTTACCAAATGTTATTTTAAGATTACGGGTGCTTTAATTTTTTTCTTTTATCTCTTCCTACACTTCTCAAATTATAATGTCTATATATTGCTTTTGGGCATTTACATTTTCAAATGTAAATAAAAGCAGAAGCAACAGTATAACGAAACTCCATGAACTTACCATCCAGCTTCAACAATTGGCTAACATTTTGCCATTCTTTCCGTATTACTTTTTTTTTTTTTAAAGATTTTATTTATTTATTCGACAGCTAGAGAGAGAGCACAAGTAGGCAGAGTGGCAGGCAGAGGGAGAGGGAGAAGCAGGCTCCCCGCTGAGCAGGGAGCCAGACGTGGGGCTCGATCTCAGGACCCCAGGATCATGACCTGAGCCGAAGGCAGCCGCTTAACCGACTGAGCCGCCCAGGTGCCCCTCTTTCTGTATTACTTTTTAAAAAGAAAGAAACCCACAATAAATAATATTTTTATCTTTTCCTGAAATAGAAAGAACTGATGTTCTCTTTAAAGAACTTGATGTTCTCTGATGTCATCTCCTTAGATGACATTCAGATTGTTAGCCAAAGATTCGAAAAAAAGCAACAGCAACTAAGCAGGGCTCCTACTATTTTTCAGACCTTCTATATTACGCAGGCCATGCAAGAGCAGTGTGGAGAGATAAGAACACTGACCCTTGACCTTCCACTACTGTTGGGCCCCAGTGTCAAGAGGCTCTTTTTCCAGGGGGAATATAAGAGACTCTCTGCTTCTTTTCCACCTTGAATAAATACAACCTTTTGACCCTGGCACTCAGTTTCTTTTTCTAAAAGGTCTCTACCTTCTGTTGAGCTTACATTAAATGGGCTTAAGAAACCAAGTGGCAATGTCCTTTCAGAAATAGCCACATCATCCAAAGGAATGTCAAAGAATGCAGCAATTCTAAGCTTTTCTAGGTGTGGAAGGCAAGACATGCCCGGGGCTGGCACCACCGAAACGCCAAGAACTGAGATGATCTTTAGGAAAAACTCTGTAGCAACCCGTGGCGGTTCGTCTGTCTGTTCACTCGTTTGTTCATTCATTCATCTAAATATTAGTTGGCAGCTACCCTTTGTCCACACTGTGCTAAGGAGAAGTAAGAGATCATCACTCTCAGAGAGTGCCTGTGTTTTCACAGCACATGAAGGAATGGGGTTTACGCACACTTTCCGCTATCACTAGAGGGACCGGGGGGGAAATACCTTTGAGCTTTTCACAGCAGCACCAAGACCTCTTAGCAAAGGTCTTTTCCAAGAATCTTTCCAAAGCAAATGGGTCCAAGAATGTAAGCCTGTGGAGTTACTTGCAATGAACTACTCCATACCTGCTTGTATCGCCTCTTCTGAGTATACTGTAACCACGATTTGATACACTTGCGTAGCAACGATATTCTGAAATAGAACACATACATAACACATACTGCCTATTGCACTTTCAGGTTTGGGGTTTTAAAAATGTTTGTTTTTAAGGCCAGAAAATCTGGGTGTAGTTACATCTTCAGCATTAAAGGCACCCTATCAGTTTCACTCTAGGAAACAGGGAAAAAAACCTATTATTCAACACAAAATCTGTTAGCCCCTGATTTGGGGCTATGGCTTGCCCCCAAATTTTGACAGTTTTCTTATAAACCTAATTAGACCACCAAGCACAGTGTCTCTGGAACTTAGGTAAAATGTATGAAATCCCCTATCATGAACTTCCTGGTTTTATGACCAAACTCTGGGACTTGTGGAGGACCACCTGGGTCTGTGACAAGCTCTTTCCACAACTGTGATACCCAGAGTGAGAACTACATTCAGTTCTGTAAACCAGGATTTAGAATAATGATAGACGCTGATAACTCCAAATTTAGTTAAATATTGAGATTCTCAGCGACTCATTAAAAAAAGAAAAATGCTCCAAAATGGGACCTCTAACTATGTGAATTAAGTTGATTGTATTATTGGCTGGGGGGAGGGTATATTGAACATTTCTGGCAGCAAGAAAGTGAAGAGTGGTTACCTCTGAAGGGTAAGACTAAGGGATTGGAGGGAGGGATCCAGGCAACTTTTATTTTTCTTTATACCTACCTTCCTAAACACTGAGTTTTCCTCATGGACATGTGGTGCTTTTATTTAAAATTAGGGACACCCTGCACTCTTCAAGACTAAGCCACAAATACCCACTTGCCTGAGCCTACTTTTTAACACTATCAGTGCTTGAATTCTAAGATGTGACTGTCACTAAAGCCTGAAGGATTGAGGCAAGGAGCTAGCAGGCACATACTCCAAACTATGGTGACCAAGAACCAGTACAAACATCTTTATTCTACCTCTCATCTGATCAGCCAAAAGGAAAATGCAAACTTGGGAACCACTGGTTTACAGCAGGGCCTTTCTGAATCTACCGAGGAATGCATGGAAGGGTAAGTGCTCTCTCCTGGAGAACAGTAAGTCAGTCCCTGGAAAGCCCAAGGAGAAGGCGAAAGTCCCCACCTGCAGTGGTCCCAGGCAGCACACAGTGAGGGGAGCTGCTCTCTCTCTTCTCTCTGCTCAATCCGAGTCTGCCAGAGGTCCCAGAACCTGTGCAGCAGCTGAAGCAGAACAGAAAAGAAATGGAAGTGTATTAAGGCAAAAGGTAAAATCTCTCTTGACCTATTAGCAAACCCTTGCCCCAAGAGACTATTAGCTCCCCCAGAGGAGGAATTATATCTCAATTTGGAGTACCCAACATACAGCAGGCTTACAAAATAATCATGGCTAAGCTACACGGAGCTGTTCTAGGCCAACATAAAAGGCAAAAAGATGAATTTTCCAGTCTATGGAAATCAGAATGAAGAAGCTGAAGGTATTCCTAATCTGGGCCTCATAGAAAACAATGCCATTTTAAAAGTTAAAACTTATCTTATCACCTATTACTGCTCATGACGTAGTCTTGCCAAAAAAAGTGTTTAACTTCAATCTAATCAAGCCCTTAGATCAAACTTCTAATTTATAGGAGCAACGTTTAAAAAAGGAAAAATCAAATGACATCAAATGGAAACAGATAAATTGAGAATATGGAATATTGTATAAGGCCAAATAGCCAGCCTTCCTATTCCAAAACTCAGTGTCATTGAGGGGAAAAAAAAAACGTATACATTATGCTAAGTGAAATAAGCCAGTCACAAAAGGGCATGTACTGTAAATATGAGGTCCCTAGAATTATAGAGACAGAAAGGAGAAAGGTGGTTGCCAGCTGCTGGGGTCAGGGGAGAGGAGAATGGGAAGTTATTGTTTAATGGGGACAGAGTTTCAGTTTTGCAAGATGAAACAAGTTCTGGAGATGGATGGTGGTGATGATTGCACAACGTGAATGTGCTTCACGTCACTGAACTGTCCTCTTAACGATGGTTAAGATGATAAATTTTGTTATGTGTATTTTAACACAATTAAAAAATAAACGTGTTAAACAAAAGAAGTGGGGAGGACTGTTATTAAGAGCCTTAAAGACATGACCAAATACAGTAAATAATCAGATCTTAGTTGAATCCTGGTTTGAAAAGGGACATTTTGGGGGAACTGTGAAAATGTGGATATGGCCTGGGTATTGGATAAAATTAGGGAATTACTGTTCGTTTTGTTAGGGATGATAACAATACTGTGGTTATGAAGGAAAATGTTATTTTTGGGCAACACAAGCTGAAATGTTTAGGTGTAATGTGTCACGATGTCTGTTATTTACTTTGAAATGACTCCGCAAAAAAAAAAAAAAAATGAAGTATTAAATATTAACAATTGGCTAGTATTTGAATTTAAATGGTAAGTATACAGGTGTTTATTCTACTATTCTTTATATTTTTCTGTACATTTAAACATTTTCATAATGAAAAACAAAACAAAAAAACCCCCATCCTCCTATACCCAGAAACATGATCTGTAAGTAGAGATAGAACCTTTGTTGCCCTCAGGTAAACCAACCACTGAAGACAACAAACTTACAGTGCAAATACAACCAAAGCCGCCTGGAATGCAAGACTCAGAGTGTACTCCCTAGGTTAGGGTTGGAATCCATCCATAGTCCCTGACCTCTGAGTCAACTATCAAGTTTCTTAGCAGAGATAAAAAACGGGATTAAACTAGGGAAAACCAAGGCTTACTCCCTCAGCTGGTAGGGCTAACTAGAGAAAATGGACACTAAGGTTTTGGAGTCTAAAAGGTCTGGACAAATCTCGAAGCACAAAGGTTAAAAGACAATGGACGTCAGAGGTCCCTCTATACAGATGACCCTTACCGTGATGTCATACTGCTGGTGAGCGAGATTCCTTCTTACTTGGTGGAAATGGGCATGGGTCACATTGTCTTTTAGGGCTCGAAAACAGAAGTGCTGTGAATAGAAGGAAGGACACAACCAGTTACAAATCAGCAGCGTCTGTACAAGTAAGAGCAGCGCCCGAGTCGAGTAGCGAGAGGCCCAGGCGCGGATGTTCACAGCTGCTCCGGGGTCCAGGAGCATTTCTCTGCTTTGAGATTCAGCTGGAGTCTGCTACAAGCCAGCCTGCACAGCAAGCACTTCATAAGTAGCTGTCGAACTGCTCCCCGCCATCCACTGACACTGCCCAGGAGCAAACACACCGCGTCGCCTCTCACCAGGACAGATCCCGATGGCCGAGATGGGAACACGACGGACAAAAGTTAAAGACATCAACTTTACCTCTCAGAAAAAGAGACTTTTAGCTTATGGTAGTTTCTCTTTTTAAAGCCATGTTGGGGGTGGGGGGTTCAACACGCACACTTAAACAATTCCAAATGCAGTTTTGCAAGAGCAGAATAGAAGGAAGAGAAGGAAGCCTTGGTGAGTAGGGGAGTTGGGGTAGTGGCAAGACATGTGGGACTGGCTCCAGCTCCAACAACACTGCCTCACATGTGACCTAAGCAAAGCCCTGGGTTCCAGTTTTCTGAGACAGAAGTGAAGTGATTAGGGGTTTTCATATTGTGCTCTGTGGAACCGCAGAGGCACCTGAAAGTGTTCGAAGACCTCCTCATGTGGTGAGGGTGCAGGAAAGCAGTGGTAGAACAGGGACTGCTCCCAGACCTTGCTTTATCCATAGCATCTCTACTTTGATCGATTTTACAGATTAGGCTCCCAACATTAAAAAGGGAGTCCGCCCTTGGGGTCATGAGTTCAAGCTCCATGTTGGGGGTAGAGGTTACTTAAAAAAAAAATAATAAAATGAAGGGGCGCCTGGCTGGCTCAGTCAGTAGAGCATGTGACTTTTGATCTGGGAGTTATGAGTTTGAGCCCCATGTTGGGTGTAAAGATCAATTAAGAATAAAATCTTCAAAAAAATAAAAAGGAGGCCTGCCATGTAAAAAAAAAAAAAAAAAAAATGCAGGACTAGATCACCTCCAAGATTCCCTTATAGCTCCAGACCCCTCTGATCCCACATCATTACCCTTTCTGATCCAAAATGAAAACAGGGACACTTGCAATGGAACAGAGCTCCATGAGTGAAGCTAATCCCATAACCAGATACACCTGAACAGCATGCTGTGCTTCTGGGTCCTCCAAACGTGGATGTCTGAGCAAGGCTGCTAAGTATTTCTGAAGCACCTACTCTGTGTAGACAGGCTTTCTGTTATAAGGCGTGCGTTCTCCTTACCACATACTATATAGCTTATAGAGTGATTTTTCCCTCCAAGGTTCTCGAACATGGTCACTTCACATCTTGGACTTTGGCCAGTTGTGCTGTTAAATATTAAACACTAAAACTTTGGTGGTTCCGGCAAAGATAAAAAAAAAAAAAAAAGAGCCTCAAGAGGCTTCCTTGCTCGTACCAGCAAGCTGCGCCTCCTGTGTTCTTCCGCCACCTTCCACTGGGCCGCTTCTTCGGCATACAGCAGCACATCTGCCAGGGAGTTAAGGCCTCTCATCTCAAAACTGTCCCCACCCTCACACACTGCGGTCCCAGGGACCCACCGGAAGGGTCTTGGCTGTGGGGGATACCAGGTGTGCCAGGTGGGCTGACGTCCACCTCCATCTCCTCCTGATGACCCAGGGAGGGGATGCAAAGGGAAACCGTGTGAGTGGCTTATCAAAGAGTTGGCCTTGTCCTCCTCCCCTCTGATGCCCATTTGATGACAGGCAAAATAGCTGAGATAAATTGCCACAGATTACAGTAAACATTTCCAAATCACCCCATCTAAAGCATTCCTGTCTTCCTGCCTCCTCTGTTTTGGCACCACAACCCAGTCAGATGTTTCAGCTAAAAACCTTGGAGTTATTTTCTAACCTTCTCCTCCCACTCCCTCCATCTACTGGGCTGCCAAGTCCATCTGCTCTCCTCGGAAATCTCTCCTGCTCTTCTGTCCCCGCCCCCAAAGCCCCACAAAGCATCCGACTTGGCCCTCACACAGACTGGCAAGAGTCTCGCATATCTGTTCCCCCTGAGCCGGCTTTGCCCCTGTAATCCAAATCTGTCCTCTCAAGTACAAACCTGCTGCATCGCTCATCTTCTTACACACCTCCAGAGGATCCCCGGTGCCATCAGGAGAAAGCCCAAGCTCCCGAGCACTGCACGCAGGGACCTACACACTGGTCCCAGCATGCCTCTCCCCGCGCTGCCCTACTGCCATCTACGCCCCCTCAACTCACGATAGACCCCTGTCGCCGTCCGTGGGTCTTTTCCTCACCTCTGCCTGTGTAAATGCCATTCCTTCCACCTGAAACACCCTTCCCGGCTTCTCTGCTAGGTGACCTTGTCATCCTCTAGGACAAAGTCAACTCGAATCTGCACAATAGCGCTCGCAGGATGTGACACACACCTTTCTGACAGCACTTACCACACCACACTGCGCAGCCCCGTTTTCATGTCTCTTTACCCCGCTAGACAACGAACTACTGTTTGTCTTTGAGTTTCCTCATATTCCAGAACTTAGGCAGGAGCTTAAAACAAAGCGAGAGTCTGATGAACAAATGAACGTGCGGATGGACATCTCCAGTTCGAATCTGCACAGCTGGGCACGTACTGCAGCAGGGGCAGTGATCAAGAACATGCACACCAGAGCCAAAGGCCTAGGTTTCAAACTCCCAGCTCAGCCAATGACATGCTGACGATTATTTAGCCCCCTGAATCTCTGTTTCCTCACCTGTAAAACGGGGATAGTGACATCTACTCCACGGGGTTGCTATGAAGATTAAAGAGGTAATGTTTAATGTCTGCACATGGTAAAAGACAATGGAAGCTAGGATCATAATGTTAGGGCTGCCAAGAAAAAGACCACCACACCTATTTCCACCACCTAGTGGGTAGAGAAAAGCAATGAAATGACAACATAAAATTCAAGATAGTGGGATTATCTCTGAAGGGGAGGAAAGGGAATACAATCATGGATGAGCAGACAGGGTATTAGCAGTGTTCTAATTTTTAATTTAGGTGGTCGGTACAAAGGTGTTCGTTTTATTACTATTCATTAAACTGTAAATGTATGTTATACATACTGTTGTGTAAGCACACTTCCAGTTAAACAGAAAAATTTTAAAAAGAAATCAACAGACATCAGGACTACCTCATATTGTCCAGTAATCATTTCCTACATATCCCCTGCCCTTTGTCTTAGAGGCTGCTGCACTCCTGCGGCCCGGCTGTCACGGTGGACAAGGCTGGGTGGCTGAAAAGGATACAGTGTTTCCAGTGAGTGAAGGCCCTCCTCAGAGCCATCCTCCGGGCCAGCCCCTCCACCCGGGCGTGCTGGGCGTACAAGCTCTCCTTCCGCTCCCAGGCCCACTGCCAATCAGAGAAGTGTGTCTGGAGCATAGTGACCCGGTGGAATCGCTCAGCCATCTCTGCAACAAAGAAAATCACCACATGCTGCCCCCTGCAAGGCTGAGAGATGAGCTGGATCTTATCTTTAAGATAAGCTGCACCCTACTACTGACACTCGGCAGGAATTTGAGGCTGTTCTTACAAAGCATGCTAAAATAAAAGTTTTTTTAGGCATGGGAAGGTTATTTGGAAGCCCTTAGCTACACCTCTTCTCTCCAAGGAAAGAGAATAGGTCTGTGATATTAGGGAGGAGGATGCTATAAAATCAGTTATATCAAAAAGTTGAGGCTTCTAGTTAACTCCTGAGGAGCAGAAATGGCAGCTGCTGTTTTCAAAGAAGACTCTTACTTTTGCCTCTTAATGCTAATGTCTCTCGGGTAGGACTTGAGGGACTGAGTTGACACAATGTGGTCACCATGCTGGCAAAAGTGTTTCTGAGCTTTAAGCCAGGCTGACCCTTCTTTTAACACTAACTAGCCAATGGCCTGATGAACTAACTTAAGTCCAGGAAGTGGGAGGGAACTGGGTCCTAGACTTCAAATGCTGAAATGAGAGGCACATTAGCCTGCAGCTTATCATGCTAAAGAGCTTAATGTCTTTGGCTCCAGGCTTGGGCAACCAGACAGTGGGTCTCCGCGTTATCCTCAGACAGACACAAACTCAAACTCAAACTCTCCCAAGAGACAGCGCTGTCCTGGCAACCCAGGAGGTTTCTGCACACAGCCTGAGGTGAAAGCCAGCCAGCATCTAACACACTGCTTGACTCACTTATGTGTGGGCTCAAGAAACCAAAATACAAAAAAGTACCAATGATCGTGACCTACGTATTATTACTTGTGAATGCTAACTGGGAAACTAAACCATAAGAATAGTGTTAAAAAATATAATGGTTTACTGCTGTCATTGTCCATGCCTACAGATAATTTATTTTGTATTTTTGAATAAAAAGACATTTGTACATTCCTGGTAAGTGAGTGCAAGAGCCATGTACCAATGTACTGCTTTCAACTTAAATCACTGAGGCATTTTTATTACTATTCTGTTAAAATCAGGATTTTAGTGTTTGCCATCACCAGATAAAAAGTTAAGCAGGAGCCTTTCTGTGGAGAGTAAGAATAACTGTATACAAAGTAGAGAAATATCCAATTATGTGACAACCTTTGTGTAATAAAACTTTGTTTAAAGTTAAAAAAAAAAAAAAAAATCAGGGACTCCTGGGTGGCTCAGTTGGTTAAACGTCTGCCTTCCGCTCAGGTCATGATCCAAGATCTAGGATTGCCCAGGTCTGGGATCGAGTCCCACACTGGGCTCCTTCCTCAGCAGGGAGCCTGCTTCTCCCTCTGCCTGCTGCTCCCTCTGCTTGTGCTCTGACAAATAAATAAATAAAATCTTAAAAAAAAAAAATCAACATCATAAATCACATGGATTGAATCACTGGGGAGAAACAGAAACAATCCAAATATCTATCAATAGAAGAATGGCTAGATAGTATATTAAGGTAGACCATCCTGCAAAATGCAGACAATCATTAAAAAAAAAAATAACATTTATGAAGACTAAAGATATAGGAAAACGTTGTTAGTTGTGGGGAAAAAAAGCAAGATACCAAGTTGTACATATATTAATCATAATAATAGTATTTATAGGATAATTAAACCCTATTAAAAATATATGTAATAAATAAAATCTTAAAAAAAGGGGGGGCGCCTGGGTGGCTCAGTTGATTAAGCGTCTGCCTTCGGCTCAGGTCATGATCTCAGGGTCCTGGGATTGAGCCCCACGTCTGGGAGTCTCAGAGGGGAGTCTGCTCAGAGGGGAGTCTGCTTCTCCCCCTCCTTCTGCCTCTCCTCTGGCTCCTGCTCCCACATGCTCTCTCTCTCCCTCAAATAAACAAACAAATAAATAAACTCTTAAAAAAAAAATGTGTGGAAGAAAAGGCCAGAAGGAAATAAATGTGAATTGAGGATGATTTATGTTTCTCCTCAATCTCTTTTTTTCCAAAATTTGGGGCATAATATGGTTCTATCTCTCCTTAATAAATTAGCACCACTGGCAGAAGAGTGGAAATTGTGACGTGCCCCTCTGTCTCCAGAGCCCCGGATCTTCTGCTCACCGTTACATTGTCTCTTCACTCTGCGGACCCTCAGGTATTTGAGCCAGGCCTTCAGGGATTTCCACTTTTGCCAGTGCTCATGGTGTTTCACTGCAGAGACCATCTTCTGTCTCTCCCTCTGGATGTGTAGGAGCTGTTCCCACCACTGTGACCAGGCCTGAAAACCAGAGAAAAGGCAACAATCAGAGGAGAGGCAGGAAAACAGAGGTGAGGTACACGTGAGGGAAAAGAGAAACAGACACACTGGAAAAGCTAAAACTAGAAACAAGGACGTGGCAACCCCCAAGGAGGATCATAATCTATGGAAATTTGCAGTGAAGGGCTCTTTAAGAAGGGCATTCTACTTCCAGAAAGTAACTTTTTTCCTGGGTTAAGAACAACAAGGGAAAAGAGGAATAATAAAATCAATGGGGTGATATACCTAAATCAGATCTGGGACAAGTGAGGGTCTGCCTTTTTCTTCCAAGTGGGAAGAAGCCTATGATCTCAGGCACATTAGTTTCTGGGAAGAGTTAGCTACAAAAGCTGAGGGTCTACGGAAGAATTCCCTCAAGACGATAAATGTGTACCCGCAGCAAAGTCTTCATGTGTGCTTGGCGATATGCATCCCTAGTTTGCATATCTCAGATGATGAATTCATACCTTCTTTCCTTAAACCTATAATACCTCTTCTCCTTTCCTTCCTCTCAGCTGAATACCATTCTTCCATTTCACCAAGAAAATAAAAGCAATCAAAAGAGAATTTTCTCAAGCTCCTTCCACATCCACCCACCCACCTGCCCACAGGCTCTGACTTTTCTCTGCCTCCTCTGAATAAAGTGTCCACGCTCCCTTCAATCAAAAGTCACCCCCACTATGGCTACATCCCATAGTCTCTCACCTTCTCAAGTTTATCACTGGCAACTCCCCCCTTCTGCATCATCGGTTTTCACCCTCTACTAGGTTTTCTAAAGCAGCATATGAATGTGCTACTATTTCTCCCATCCTCAAAAGCAAATCCCTTCAGGGATACAACCTCTGATTGGATCCTGGACCTGCCTCTAAAATAGCAATAATCTATGGTTTGAATATGAACCATATTGTAGATATTATCATATCAATATTGAATGTCTTGGATAAAATGATACTGTGATTATGTAGGAGGACATCCTTGTTTTTAGGAGATATAAGCTGAAGTATTTAGGGTAAACTTTTATGTCGGCAACTTTATTTTTTTTAAAGATTTTATTTATTTATTTGAGAGAGACAATGAGAGAGAGAG